GGTTTTGTAATTCATTAAAGGTTTAGGATTAAGGTTTCATAAAGCTTCTTTATATCTTTTGGTCTGACTCCAACATTCTTTGTTAATATAGTCATACACATGATACTTATGAAAACACAGAATAAATGCAGTTTTTTTCTCTAAGGGCATTACATGCTAAGGTATCTGCCTTGTACACACTTTGTAATCTATGCTGACGATAGAAATCATCACATCTTACTTATCTTTACATCTAACACCAAGCATTATTCTCCAACACATAGAGGTACCCAATAAAGGCCTGTTAACAAAAATATTGGCATCAAAGAAAAACTTTTTTTTTTTTGCAGTTTTTGGCTGGGGCCAGGTTTGAACCCCCCACCTCCAGTATATGGGGTCGGCACCCTAGTCCTTTGAGCCACAGGTGCTGCCCTAAAGAAAATCTTTAAGTCTGAAATAACTAGAAACATTCTGACATTATTTGGTATGTATTAAATAGTTCAAAATAAATTTTATTACAATTTAAATAACTATAATTTAAATGTTTCATAATAACATTTTTAAAAGCGAGGCAACAAGAATATCTGTATGATGAATTACCAGAAATGTTTCTGAAAGTCAGAAGTCTGTAAACTGTGTAAAATTTTAAATGATGGAATGTTTTTATATTTGTATTGTGAAATTGAAATATTATGTGAGAAGCTTTTTTAAATTATGAAACCAAAATACAGTGAAGAAACTCTCTATGGGATTACTCCCCTAACTCAACAATATCAGCAGTTTTCTACATCTTTATTACTACACGCAAACACACACACATGCAAATGTAGTAGTTTTGCCCGTTCTATATAAAAGTGGAGGACACAAGAATGGAAGTGGTCTACGCAAGGTTCTATAAAGAGAGATGGCTCTGGTTCTCTCTCCAATGGTCTCTCTAGGAGATTCATACTTATCATTTATTCACTGAACAATTTTCTTTTTTTAATTTGTTTTTATATTTATTTATTTATTTAATTTGCAGTTTGGGGCCGGGGCTGGGTTTCAACCCACCACGTCTGGTTTATGGGGCCGGCGCCCTACTCCTTTGAGCCACAGGGGCCGCCCCTGAACACTTTTCTTAATAAGCCTTCAGAGAAATTAGTAGTCATTATTTTCTTTGTTGTTCCCAATGTTCTTAAAAAGGTTAAATAATGAGGGGGAGAACATATCAATAAAATGCAAAAGGAAGAAGAAAGTTTTGTCTCTGAAGACCTAGATAGTAACAGTCAATATAACTCTTCTTCCTCAAAAGGTGCCCATCAACCTAGGAATGGATTAACAAACTGTGGTGGAGATATATATATATATATATATATATCATGAAATACTATTCAGCCATAAAAATGATGGTGACTTGACAACCTTTGTGTTAACCTGAATGGAGATGAACACATTCTTCTTAGTAAAGTATTACAAGAATTGAAAAGCAAATATCTAATGCACTTAATACTAATATGAAGCCAGTAGATGATCTAATTCATGCCCACAAAGGAGAAAAACTCATTTCAATTTAAGTTAGGGGGGGAGGAGGAATGGGGGAGAGGGGAGGAAGGAGGTTTGGGGTGCTCCCGCTTTATGGGCACAATGTAGGATTTTATGACACATCTTTTGGGTATGGGGCATAACTACAAGAGGGACTTTACCTAAAAAATTCAAATATAGTCACCTGGTTGTTTATATCCTCACATTAACGTGAAATTAAAAAAAAAAAAAGAAAAGATATTATCCTTGAACTTGCACAACAACAAACTATACCTGCTAGATGGCCTGTTTGAAGGCCTCAAAAGTCAAGATCTTAAAACTCTCAAAAATTAAAGTGAGAAGAGGGGGCCTGGTCAAATTCAGATGAAAGGTAGGTGATAGTGCATACTGCGTTGATGACAAGAGACAGGTTCCCCGGTAAACACTGGTCACCTCTTGGCAAATCCACTGGCTGGACCACCACTCCCTGTTCCTCTTTCTCTCCTAGGAGCAGCTTGTGTGAATACTTCAAGGAAAACAAGAATACAAAAATGCTCAAAGACCCCTGTGAGTGTGTGACAGGGAAGACCGGGCAGGGTAAGGGGGTAAGAAGGGGACATTCCTAGGGGCCCTGGTCCAGGGTGTGGCAGCCCATGATCTTTGCTTCTCCTCCCCTCACAGACCTGAAGAGGCAGCTGCTAAAACACACAAAATGTGACATCATGGACACCTTCAGCTTGTTTCCCAAAACTCAATATGACCTCAGCTCCTTCCTGGTGCACATATGGTTCCACACGGTGAGCGCCTGCTTCCTTTCTCAGGCAGGCCCAGAAAGCCTGATGTGGGTGGGAAGTTAAGGAGGGTCCTTTTCAGGAAAGGATGCTCTGCTTTTCTGTGAATGGAGTGTTCAAGGAAGGTGAGTGTCTGTAGAGTCCCCTCCCAGGTCCCACACTGCTCCCTCTCCTGACTGGACTTACTCTCAGGATTCTCTGAGTTTCCTTGACCCGTTGTTCCCTTCCTTCCTACTCCCCCTGTGTTCTTCTGGTCCTACTTTACCCTCAAAGATTGACCTTTTTTTTTTTGTTCTTTCCAAGACAGACTCTCCCTTTGTAGCCCTGCGTTGAATGCTGTAGTGTCATCATAGCTCATAGCAACCTCAAATTCTTGGACTCAAGCAATCCTCTTGCCTCAGCCTCCCAAGTAGCAGGGACTATCGGCACCTACCACAACATCTGGCTAATTTTCCTATTTTTAGTAGAGATGGTGTGCTCTTGCTCAGGCTGATTTCAAACTCCTGAGCTAAGGCAGTCCCAAGTGCTTGGGATTACAAGCATGAGCTACCACACCTGGCCAACCTATCTCATTTTTGTCATAGATTGAATAAAAGTTTAGAAATACTTTGTATACTATCAAAAGAAAAAAATAATTAAAATGTGAAAAGCTGGGAGAACATACTTGCAAACAATATCGCACATTTTGTGTTACTGTATCTATGCATAGAGGACCTTTTCTAACCGGGACAGAGGGTAACAAAGATCAACAATTAATTTACCTAAATATCAAAATGATTCTTTAATAAATTTCTGCACAGCATCCAACCACATTGGCTAAAAAAAAATGAAAATCTGGAGATGTCACAATATGTGAAAAATCCAATTTGGAGAAAATTTATTTGACTGAAAATTTAAAAAAGAATATATTTGCATGTGTGTAGGTATATATATACATATGCATGTTACTTACAAATATTTCAAATAAACACATTGCACACCTAAAAAAATTATTTATTTATTTAAGACAGATTCTTGCTGTTTCTCCCAGGGTAGAGTGCAGTGGCACATCATAGCTCACTGCAACCTTAAACTTCTGAGCTTGAGTAATCCTACTGCCTCAGTCTTCCAAGTATCTGCCACTACAGAGGGACCATGTATCTATTTTTTTTGTAGAGATGGGTATCTCACTCTTGCTCATTGAACTCCTGCCCTCAATTAATTCTCCCACCTTGGCCTCTCAAAATTCTAGGATTACAGATGTCAGCCTCCATGCCCAGCCCACCAATCTATTTAAAGTAGATATTTTTAGTGCATGGTGAAGGGATAATATAGATATAAGTTGCAGAATGGTTTTAGCTCCAAAATATACATTTTATAGTGTTTAATACTTTGTAATTAGGCAAATTTGTTGAAATCCTTGAGAATATCCAATAACAAATTGACAAAAATGTACTAGTTTAGGAAATGTCTCCCGTGATACTCTTTCATAAAAAATAAAAATTACACCTCTTTGCTTGGTAGTTTATTTATATACATGTATGCTTCTTTGCTTTATGCTTACTTCATCCCACAGGTTCACACTCTTACATGTGTATTTCTCTTCTGCTCACTCAGGGGTTGGAAGGACTCTCTGAGAGGATAGAGACCTAGGAAGGCACTTCTTCCAGGGGGCGTAGAAAATACTGGAAACCTCTGGCTGATGCACTCAGGCTCCACTCTCTCTCTCCCTTGTAAAGTTTTCTGGTTTAAAACTTTCAGATCTGAGCAAAATCGAGACCCTGTCTCTACTAAAAAAAATAGAAAAACTGAGGCAGAAGGATTACTTAGCCCCATTCGGAGGTTTCAGTGAGATATGATGCCACAGCACTCCACCTAGGGTGACAGCTTGAGACTCTATCTCAAAAATAAAATAATAAAACTTTCAGAGCTACAATTCTGGCTCTGACCATTAGGGGGCATCTTTCTTCATGACTACTATATTTTTTGAAAACCAAAAGGCATGGGGTTTTTTGGCGATGGAGCTGGGGGTTAAATCTCTTACTCCAATGCTCCACCAAACTTTGGCTATTTCCCTTATACAGGCAGCCTCTAGTGTGACCTCTGGGGGGTGAGCTAAAGTTATTTCCTGACATGTGCCTATTTTCAGATATTTCTGTAACTTCTTTAAGTAAATCCCTATATTATAGGTAGATTTATTAAAACTATTCATGGTGGCATCATGCCCATTCAATAGGACTCAGTTCCAGTGGCCATATCTCCCCATAATGTCTGAATTACCCCCAGACGAGATTCTATACCTCCTTGAACCTCAGCAACTTTCAAGAGATCAAGGACATGTTAATTCTTCAGATAAGAATGTGTTCCAGTGTGTTCCATGAATGAATACAATGTAATATAGAGGACAAAGTCTGGCAATCAGAGTTCAGTGTTTGTATCCACAAGTACCATTCCTGCAGGAGATGTTCCTTTGGAAACACCTCCCTGGTTGTTACTCTGGTAGCAAACTTAGGGGGCAGTAAGAACAGGAAGTTAAGTCTCCTCTGGTACCCAGGCATCTCCTCTCTATGCCTTTTGGGAAGGAATTTCCTGTAAAGACTCCATTTTGTTTGTGTAGCCCTGACCAAGTAGCCTATCTAGTAACTGCTCTCAGCAGCCCTTTCAATCTTCTCCAAATTTCGTCTCCAGAACATTCAGTTTCTTTTCAAGAGAGCCCTGTGAAGACATTGGTCACTTCCTTCAGGACGCAGCATGGGTGAGTTGGTCAGCACGAGGCTTTGGCTTTAGGTCCTTACAGGGTAGGAGAGATTCTATGCCCTCCCCACCTGTGCCCCAACCTACAGGACACTCAGCAGACTGCCCTTTAAATTGATGGTGGCAAAGGCCTGGGCTGTTTTCTACTTTCTTGAAGACATAGACCTTGTGGGTCCTGACACATCCATCCTTGCTCCACATGGAAAACCTCTCCTTCGGCTGTAATCGTGGCTGAGCTCAGCTATTCCCCTGGTATATAGGGGAATAGTCTGTCATGTTTGGAGACTCAATAGTCTCAAAGTCTGGAGAATGAGAGAGGGTGATCTGAGGTGGGGAGCATTGGAAGTTAACAGCCTTGGGATTTATACTAGGGGTGGTGGAGGGGCAGGGGATCTACCAGTACTCTTAAATTTTCACAGCAAGCATTCAAAGTAGATTGTATTACCCCATAGCTTTGTTGATGGCTTGCTTTATGGCCTAGCATACGACGTATTCTGAAATGCTACCTGCGTTGTCATATTTAGTATTCTGTTAGGTAAATTTTGTTCTATTGTTTAAATCTTTATCTAACTGACTTTTTGTCTGTTTTATCTGCCACTAAGTGAGGTATGTTAAAAATTTCCCACTGAGATTATGAACGTGTCCATTTCTCCATTTACTTCTGTCAGCTTTTACTGCGTGTATTTTCTCCAGTTACTTCCATGCATTTTTGCTGTGTGTATTTTGGCTCTGTGTTAAAAGATGCATACATGGGGTCTAATTGGTCATCCTGTGTGCTATGCTGTACACTTATCATGTCACGAGCTCATGGAGAGTAAATAGGTTCTTGTACCTAAAAGCATGATAAGTGTACAGCATAGCACACAGGATGACCAATTAGACCCCATGTAACAGTGATACAAGGTGCTGGAACCTATTTCCCATGAATTCAAAAGTCAGTGTT